TATATATATATATATATATATATATATATATATATATATATATAATTAGGATATAATAGGTAATGAATTATATATTATATACTTAAAAGACACTTGAGAAAAACAAGAAATAAAACTCTACACTGTCATTTTTTATTTCTCTTAATTTATTTGCTTGGTGTATATTTCTTGTTTGCTAACAATTAATAATACACAATTGCAAGTTAAATGTATCTAAAGCTAAACTAAGGGAAAATTCTGCATTAAGAGTTATTTTCCATCACCTCTAACTTCATTTAGAGTTATAAATTTCTTACACTTAACTTGGATAAATTATAAATTACGTGTCATATATATATATATAACAAATATAAATTGTTTAAATTTAAAAAAATGAAAAGTATCATTGTAATATTTATAACGTAAAACACACTTAATATTTTATTAAACACTCCATTTACGTAACACTACAAAAACAATGTGAATTGCATGGAGATTTTGCTACAGATTAATATGAAAATGTGTAGAAAACTTATTTTTTCGCAAATTTTTATATAAATTCCTAGGAAAATTTTCATGTAATTTACCGTTTTTGTAGCGTAATAACATTGCAAGGGAGATATTGTATTGTAGTAATACAAAAAAGATAACTTACCAAGTTATTTTACAATTCCCATTTATAAAATAATGCAAAAACATACGCCTTATATATTTATTTTAGTAAAATAAAAATTGTACACTTAAAATTAAATATTATAGTAAAACATATGTTTCCTAATTAACAACCTTGCGATTAGCCTTTTGATTAAAAACCCCACAATTTTTCCTAATTTCTCCAGCACTCCCCACTAAAACATCAATATTTGCCATTTTTATCATCGCATTTGCAAAACTTTGGCTAAATACATCCTTATTAGCTGCAAAACTTGTAACAATTGGAGCACTTGACTTATCCAACGTAAGCTCTTGATCGATCGTCAATATACCTTTACGTAACGTAATTTGTCTGTAATACTCATTATCAACACTAAACGACGTATTTTGATCCAGAAACGCCGTTGCAGAACTTTTAGTACAAGTTTTCAATAGTTGAGCCGCTAACGTAGGATCCATAGTCTTATCAGGTACGGGCGATAGCCTACCTTGGAAAAAATTACAATGTGCGATTCCAACCGTATGAGCGCCTAATAATGTCACCATGTCATTTAAAGTAAGTCCTTTATTTGTGAAAAATTGGAGTGCTTGTGGAATTGTTAATGATGGGCCTGGTAAATTTACATCTGCTATATTTGAAATTAGCCCATCACGTCTACCTGTTGGAATTGGATAATTTGGGCCTCCAGCTAATGCTACAGAGTCTCTAGTTGCTAGTGTTATTATGTCAGCACATGAAACTGTTGATGGACAAGATGTTTCTAGGGTTTTCTTGATTTTATCGATTAACTCGTACCCTCGTACCGTTTTGTTTGGGCCAGCTTCTCTCTCCGATTTCTTAGAACCTGTTGACTTTATGAGTATCGATGCGTCACATCCCTAAAATCAAGTTACATTTTTAGGAACATAATCATGTAAACAATATACACTAAGGTAATTTTATAAGTAGGGATTTGAATAAAAAAGTGGGATGTGCGCGAATCACATATCTATTTTTTTTTTATGAATATTCATGTAATTTCTTAAACATTACTGAAATTCCAAATTGTATTATGACATTGGTTCCTTTTTTGGTGAAAATCATTTACGCTCTTAAATTACGTATATACCCCTGAGTTTTGAAATATTGACATTCTCATCCCTTTATATTCTATGCTACATACATAGAATTTGTTACCTTGAATAAAAAATGAAAAATATATTAATGTTAAAGAAGTTAAAAAGAAGAAGAAGATAGATTGATAATATAAGAATAAATATGCATTTCAAAGAAAAAATAAAATAAAAATTATAGTTTTGAGAGACATATAGAACTAAGACATGAAGTGATGCTGAGTAAAGATATAATTTTGTGCAATTTATTTCACAAAAAAATGTTGCAATGGTATTCTCAGTTAGTAAACATGTAATATTATGACTATATTTTATGTATATATAATCAAAATACAAATTCTCTTCACTAGTTCGTATGTGTTTACTTATTCATATTCTGAATCACTTATTAATAATCCTGATTCCTTCGCTAAAAACATAAAGTAGTAGACTTACTCTAACAAAGCAATCATGAAAATGCATGCGAAGCAAAGCTGCAGTGATGGAAGGGTCACTATTGAACTGATTTTGCACAGCTTGTCTAACAATAGTTTCAGTTTGTGGACATGTTGAATTGTAAAAACCAACTTGAAGTTGGGCTGAAACTAAATGGATTACACAACAATAAAATAATAATAATCCTATTAATGATGATAATATCATTTTCATCTTCATGATGTTCATGAAATTAATCAAGGACTCAAACTATATATGCTAACACTTTCAAAGTAGAAAATAGTACTTAGCTTCTAGTGTGTATATAATAGTGATGAAGCTGAAAGTATATATAGACATGTATATATACAAGTGCACCAGCATGAGTTGTGGTGCAGTAGTGGTAGGACAATGAGATTGTTTCACTCTTAATAAGAGGTTTTGGGTTTGAGTCCTGAGCATGAAAAGAACCCCCTGACCGGACCTTGCAACGCGCAATCCAGATTAGTCGGGGTTTCATTATGGGCTCTTAACATCAGGTATGGAGAAAATCTTACTTGTTAGGGGTGTCACCCCATAATATACCCTGCTATGTACATTCAGATTTAGTCGGGGATTCAATGTGAGTTCTAAACACCAGGTATGGAGAATATATATCTTACTATGAGCTAAATAGACCCTGCAATGGGCGATGCGAATTTAGTCATGCTCCAATATGGATTGCGAGTACTCGAGTGAGAAACAAAATAAATGTATTTCCTTTGTCCGAATTTATGTAATACGTTTTATTTTTCGAGAGTCAAGCACCTTCAGTTTGATTAGGAATTGGCAAATGTCAATTATCTTAAAAATAAAATTAATATATTTGTAAGCTACGTAAAAAGTATTGTAAGTCATAATTGATAATTTAAAATATTTAAAATATATATAAAAAAATCTATAATTAAAAATAAATTTATTTAAATCTCAAAATCTGAAATGTGTCATATAAATTAAGACGGCCCGAGAGAATATGTATAGTGAGGATAAGGATTGTGATGTTGGCCACATGCATGGTCAACAAAATACCAAGGAGCCGGCAATATAAGAAAATGGTTGTTATTCACATTACCATACATGTTAATTGCATAATTATGGATATATGGGTCCATTGGATTCTTATTAATTAAGTACACTTGTCTCACATATTAATGTTTATACACACATAAACGAACCAATTTAATTGTTTATGCTTTAAACGTTCAATTCTGGATGTGATTAGGTGAATGTTAAAAAATAAAAAAAGCTTTACGTTAATGGTTAAATGACGAGTGATCTTCTTATTAAATTTGAGCAATGATTTAAGCACATAATTCTTCTTTTCCTCTTTTCTCAAATCATTATTATTATTATTATTATTATTATTATTATTATTATTATTATTATGGTTGCAATAGGACTATTTTTTTGTCCCTCCATATAATAGATGTTGTCGGTTATTGATGTAGTGTCGTGACATAGGGTGTGTTTGGTACGAAGAAATATGTTTTTTATGAAAAATATTTTTCTAGAAAATGTTTTCATGGAAAATAAGTAGATTTTGGATTTATTTTCTTATGTTTGATTAGTGAGTAGAAAATATTTTACGTGTGTCTGATTTATGAATGAAATTAATTTTTTTGGGGTTGGGGGTGGGTGGGGCCTGGTAGGGGGTGGTGTAGGGGTGGTAGCTAGGGGGGGTAGGAGTTTTAAAAATAAAAATTTGAAATTGAAAAATATTTTTAAAAAAGCAAAATTAATTTTATGGGGAGGGGGGGATTGTGGGGGGGGGGGGTGAGCTGGCCGGTGGTGGGTGGGTGGGGGTCAGAGACCGGGTAAAAAAATAAAAAATAAAATTTAAAAATATTTTTTTAAAATTAATGTTTTTTGGAAAAAAATGCAATTTGAAATTGGAGGAGAGTTTTGGAAAATGTTTTCCTTAAATTTTGAAGGGAAGCCATTTTCCTTAATTTCGAGAAAAATAAATTGATCTGGAAAACATTTTCCAAAACTTTTATCCCAACTAAATATGAAAAATTAAAAAACGTTTTCCTTTCAAACCAAACACAATCATAGTGTACTGTTAGATTAAGTGCAAAAAGTCTTGTATTTATAATTAATTTAATCAATCTAATCAATTATGTATATCATCTATTTCAACAAAGTTTCAATAATATTATTTTGTTAAATCTAGTATTTTTTTTTGTTTATAATCATATTAATTGCAGGTAAATTTTATTGTTATTGTCGCAAGGCATGATCAAGTTTGGTTTACTATCATTAGCCCAACATGGTTTATTTAGCATCCCGTGAATATTTGGTAAGTCATATTTAGTGAGCTTAACTTACATTGTATAAATATTGTCCGTATAAGAAATTTTTATGTTGACTTATTATAGTAAGTTGCTTATCTTATTTTCAACATTATTATTTCCTATTTAAGAAAAAAATCACCTATTTATATCCTTAAATAACTTGATCATATGATTATTTTTTACACTCTCACGTTAAGATTAGAGAGAAATTTAGGATTGTATTGATGATTAAAATTGTTTAAGATTAGAGAGAAATCAAGAATTGTATTAATAATTAAAATTGTCAAATACATGTTCTTCATATAGGAGGAGAGTCTTAGACTAGCTATACTTAGACTCTTATAACAATACTACTATATACAAATATATAATTTACCAGAGTATATATAGGTATACAATTACTTACAATTATAATAACTTATTCTAGCCGACTTTAACCAGTATACGACACAGCAGCCTAGTCTATATCTTGTCTCTATTTATGTGACACTTTTCGTTTTTCGAGAGTCAAACAATTTAAGTTTGATCGAAAATTTGCGCATGAAATCTTCAATTTTTAAAAAATGAAATTTATATATTTGTAAACTACGTAAAAAGTTCTATAAGTCTCAATAGTTGATAATTCAAAATTTTCAAAAAACCTATGAAAAATTTACGATCAAAGATAGACTTGTTTGAATCTCGAAATTCGAAAAACATCACATAAAATAGAACAAAGGGACTAGTATTTAGTAACTCAATTCTAGTGTGACTCTAACTCTATAATAGATGTACATATTAATTATATCACGTTGTTCAACTTAGTTCATATAATCAATTTTCTTTATATTCAACACACTTACAAGAAACTAGTAAGAAAATTATTTCGAAAGCGAGTCATATATATCTTTAATTTACTTGTTAGGTATATAAGATAAATATGTATATGTTTCCTAAACGATGGTGTTGTTGATTATATTATCAAGAAAAGCAACCAATTATTAAACTCATACAATGAAATCTACCATATTTTAGGATTCTTTCACATAAAACAATCAATAGTCACAAGACAAATATTAATAGGTGGATGATGCCCATCATTTTCTTTGTCTACGCAGCTTTTTTGGCATCATTTGTCACACAACAAACTTTCTCCAATGATATGCCCATTATATATATATATATATATATATATATATAA